TATATATAATTTAAGACAATCGTCACGCTAATTTAAATTCTGTCATAGAAAACTATAGGAGAGAGGTAAGGAGCGATAAAAACAATAATATTCATGCAAAAAGACTGCATCTACTGTAATCAATCAATCTAAAAAAAGCAGTTCTCATACCTCACAGGGAATGAAATTTTTAAGAATTCAAATTGAAAACAGATGTATTCTACCGTTAAAATTGGAAATAGTGGCTCAGATTGCTTTTTTGCTCCTATATTGAACACGACTTTGATGTTTATAATTAACAGTTTCACTGAATCGGTGCAAGATTTGAGAAACGTAACACTCAGGCTCTACCAATTTTGAATATAATTGTGCAAAATTCTAACCTGGAATCTCATATTTGAATCGCAATCGCTGATTTGTCGAAAGAGAGCATCTACCAACCGAGGAATTATTCCTCTCTTTTCACTCAACATGCTGACAGTCGTTTCCTCCGTTCCCATGGTGTAGGTTTTGCCGCTTCCTGTTTGTCCATATGCGAGCACTGTACAGTTAAAACCTGTGGAAATATAAAGATTATTTTTGACCGTGAAAATGCATTGTGAACACCCCCTAGTTGAGCATATTTAAGCTTAATGGATTTAAGAAGACCGTTTTCAAAAAATAGCACTGTATGTCTGATGGGACCGTAGAACTTCAAATTAAGATGAAGACTGTAACATAATTACTCGGAATACATATAAGAAATGTGAAAGGAATCTGCCTGAGTAGGCAAATTGAACCAAGACAGTTACTATTTTCGAGCGATAATAGGGTGTGATCACTAATCACTGTGCATGAAGACATTAAGAGGCTTTCTGTGAAGTGCATAAAATGCAGTTTCGTTCAGCCGACGGTTAGCATTCTATAAAGTTTTGACAGACAACTCTTTCGTTCAAAAACTCAAAGAATTCAATGCCTTCTGAAAACTCCCAACTAATCCAGACCAACCTTTCATAAATTGTTCTAAGAGAGATGAAGCCGTCACATCATATACGGTGTCCTGTGGTGTTGAGGGATCTAGCACGCCATCAAAAGCAAACATTTTTCCATTACAGGATAACTGAAATTACTGGAAATGACAAAAACCAAGTAAGGACGAAACAAGATAGCGCAAACCTGGTTAGATTCCACAAAGAACTGTAGACACTCCCGTGCATTTTCGAGCTTTTCCCTCTCGCTAAATGGTCTTGACCTTATAAAGACCTTAACTGGAATATCTCCTGACATTCCAGCGAAGCCAGCGCGGAAATCCACCAACTGCAGGAAAGAAAATTAAAAGAGAATTTCCAAACGTATTTGAAACCCTAATCATTGGCGCTTTTCTGATGCACTGGTCCTTCATGGAATTGTGATGGAACGGGTCAAGAAACTGTTTCAGAGCGAGGAAAGTTGATTCCAACACGGCGCAACAAATTTTTCCTAATTAATGCTCACGGCCATCTTGACATACATGAAATCAATATTTATTGTTACAGATGACATATTTTACAAGTTGGGATGAGTTCGCTAAAGCTGTAGAGAAGTTGCATTCGGTGAACTCGGAGAAGTGCAGGTAGCGTTGTTTTCCTTTGTATATACTGTTTATTGAACTCGACAGTCTATATTCTTTTCAACTGCATTTTCTTTTCTTCTTCCCTTGCCCAGCTTGTAATCTATAGCACCATTAAAGTGAAGTTTTTGGTTTTTACTCAACCTATTTAAGGAGAACATAATAGTCTGCGTCAAGAAACGATGTTTAGCACAGTGCATCATTCCCAGAATTGTCTCATACCTTTTAGCGCAGCGGCCTAAATACCTACGACGAAGATATGACTCGCACGGAAATGACATTCTGGGGGATTATTAATCCTTAAAACTTAATTTAGGGGTTAATTGACATCCTCCTAACAAATAGCTATCGATGTCTCGGTACTTAAGGGGTTGCGGTATTTGCCCACTGTAGCATACACCATGGGAATAGACATTATTTCGAGCAGCATGCTAATTATCCCACTGAGCAAACTTTGAACCAACTTTTTTCAAAATTTTGTACACATACAGTAGTAGCGAGGGTTTAGATCGCAATCACATGCCTGTTGTAACTTGATGTTTGGGCTAAACTGGTGTCTTAAAATTGTTTAATCTTTTCATACATTGATTGTGAAATAGAAAATCGCAAAATAGAATTAAATCTATCTATATCGGCAGGTCAACCTAACATTGTTTCTGCCTTACAATATGAATAGTTCTTGCTAGCTGTTTAAATATTTTTTGAAGATTTTAGCTAAGTCTAAATGATCATTTTTTAGAACAAACAGATTATGGCCATCTCACTCTGTAAATTCAGCTTGAAAAAACCTGTGACATCATGATCAAAAATGGATTCTTTTAC